GAGCCAACATACCACGGAGTGATCAAAGTCCCATGCTAGAAAACAGCCAGGAGCACACAGAAAACCATCCCATGCCACCCCAGGCCACAACTTTTCTTCAATTACCTAACATGCTGCATCTCACTTCTCTGCAGCCCTCCTCTGCTTCTATCCACTCCTCCAGCACCAGACAGAAAGGCGAGTGGAAGCTGGATAGCGACTTCCTAACTTTCTTTTGATTTCCAAGGCTTCTTTATGCAAGACATCCTTCTTATACTAGCTATTTCATACTAAAAAAAGGTGTGACAAAGAAGTGAAACTCCATATCTAAGAGTTCAATAAAACACCATGGTCTGTATTCCAAATTCTCACCGTGATTATGGAATCATTTTGCTGTCTGAGGTGTCAAAAATGGTCTTGCAGACAAAACACAGCCTTGAAGTTAAGAAAGGCAGAAACTGTAACCGCCCAGCCTTCTCTGCAAGTTGGGCACTCTGCAGAACAATGGTGAGCCAAGACTGTCAGGAGGCTTCCTGGTGCCTGAGAGTTGTTTACAAAGAAAACGCACTCAGGCTGGCTCGCTGTGGACAACCATAACATACTCTGGAATTCTAAGTGGAGAGAGTCCTTTTACACAGACTATTAATCTGGTGAAAAGCAAAAAGCAAAAAAATAAAAAATAAAAAACAGATTTTTTTCCAGGACCAAAAAAACCTCCCTCTGGGTAAAAAGGATAGAGAAGAAGAAAGGCACAAAGCCAAGACTAGCTCTGCAAGAGGAGGGGGACTGTTTTGTTCACTGCTCTGTTGAGAACAGTTGCTGGTGTACAGTAGGATCTGAATACACACTCACTGAATGAATGAATGAATGAATGAAACCTTGACTTTTCAGAAGCTTTAACAATAGGATTAAGTCCAGGGGGAGAAAAATCAAACAAGTAATCTGAACTTGGAGAAACCTCAAAATAAGGATTAAATAAATATAACCTCATGATTTCTTAGATTTCTCATATTAGAAACGTATCCAAGAAAACCCTGCAAAAGTCCACGACAAAGTCTCTGTGACTTTCACTGGTACGTGCTCAGTATTTAATCAGGCTACTCTCCAGCAGCTTGTTTTGCTTAGCACTTCTAGCATCCTGGGCGTGAGGCAGGGGTGATGTCTTGACCTTGGCCAGGCCCCCTGCATGGGTGGTAATAGGCCCAGAGCCACTTTCGTACACCGTAGGGATGGAAGGAACCCAAGAAATCATCTCGCCAACAGCTTTGCCTTCAGGAAGCAACACGTTTGAACCATTCCAAACCAGAAAGTCCATCTATTTTTATAAGTTCTCCTTGTATAAAAATTTGTCTCTAAATGTGAGACTTTTGGCAAGTTAGTCAACCCCCTTGCTCATCAGCTTCATCTTTGAAATGGACATAAAAATATTAACTACCTTACGTGACTAATGTGAAGACTGAGGAATACATGGCACAGTATACGGCACAGTGCCAAGTATACTCTAAGTGCCCGACAGACCTGTTATCACTTTACTCTTTTATTTGTAAATAAACAGGTCCTAGCATTTCACGCTGAGCACTGGCCTGGACTCTAATTCTGATTAGGTCCTTACCTTAGTTCTAAGTCAGTGAATGATCTGCTTGTGAATGATCCCAAACTCCTTGATATTGGTAGATCTACTTCAACCTTCCCTTGAAAGTTCATGGGTACATAAAGTTCCAATTATGCAGTACAGATACAGAGATGCAGCTTCTCATTGTATGTGAGAACTGTCCCAGGCCCCCTCAGTATATATGGATGTTACAATTACAAATTATAAATGCCCCAAGTAAACAAAACAGTTGGGCCTAACATTCTGGAACCTGGCTTGAATGAGGGCAGAGGCAGCAGACAGTAACTGTAATGTGCTAGACTAAAGAAACTAAGGTTCAAGTGCTAGTCTGTCACATTTAGCTGGGTAAGCAAGCTATTTCACCTCTCCTGGTTTCAATTTCCTCTTTACAAAACAGGGGTATGTACCAGATCAACTCTATAAAGTTCCTTTTGAGCTCTAAGACTCAATGATTCCACAGAAGGGTGAAAGCCAAGAGGGTGGCTGGCAGGGTCAAAGCAGATATAAAGATATGAGGCCAGGGGCGGGGGTGGGTAAGAACTAAGAATGTGAATGTGAAGAGAAAACTGCAGGTTAATAAGAGAAAGGACTTAGTCAAACAGTAAGTCAAACCTTACCTATAAGGGTGCAGACTGGGAGGATGAGCTGGGCTGAATGCCTAGGAAAAGACTAGTTCAGGAAAATTCTAAAGGGCCAATGGCTTGGAGGACCATTTATTTTTGGACGTGCAGTACCAGCCAGAAAGAACCTTATTTCTTCGGGGACTAGGGAGCTGAGAGAGAAGGCATCTGGTGACCTGAAAGAGTGTTGAACTCCAAAATCAAACTTACAGCTAGACTCTTCAGGTATACCATGTAGCTACAAACTACTCATATCAGAGGTTAAGAGCTCAGACTCTGAAGATGGGCGGCCTAGGTTCAAATCATGGTTCCATGACTAACTAGCCTTATTAGATCAGGCAAGTGAGCTAATCGCACTCTACTTCAGTGTCTTCATCTGTAAAACAGACATAAAACCAGAGCCTACTGCATAGGGATACTGTAAAGATCAAATGAGCCAATATATGGAAAGCCCTTTGAACAGGGCCTGGCATCTGGTAAGTACTAAATAAGTCAGCTTATTTTCTGCTGCAGAGTGGGATTTTACATGACTCACTGCAGAGTCACTTCATTCACTCCATGAAGAGGAGTTAGGGGCAGGGTATCCTACCCAAGGCTGAAACTTAGAAGAAGAACAACTTCTGTTGCCTTTTGTTCCCTGGGTAGAGTCAAGCGGAAAACCCACCAGTGGTCAGGAAGAAACCTAGCAGCACTGGAGGCGGTGAAACTGGTAGGTCACTGCTGCTCCCTTCAAGGAGTGTCAGATGATCCCCGGGAGCGTTAGGCCAGCCCTTAAGGAAACAATACGCTGAAGGGCTTTCCCACGGGAGCTACATTCACTTTACATTCTCCCTCGGCATTTACTTTAAAGGTAATGCTAAGTAGTCCTAACTGAAAGGCAGCTGCTTTGGGGTACCATGACAATAGGAATGAGTTATATATTTTTTACTTTTCTGGCCCTCTTTCAGGCCCAGCAGTTTGCCCTTCTTATACCTAGTTCTCCCCAGTATGTTTCTATTCACCACTTAATTATGCATTCTTAAGTTTCCTTCCAAGTGCTATGCAAAATGCTGTTAGTTTTACATGTCTACAGCTTCCCAGAATTATCACACATAGGAAAATAGGGTGCAGTATCTCCATTTACAAGTAAAAGCAGCACTTTAATAGAATCAACAACATTAAAGACCTAAAACCACACCCTTCCAATGCTCTCTCTTTACAAGTGAGCTCTAAGGACTCATTTTTATTTCTATCTGCAAGGCAACATATTCATTTGGAGTGGCCAAACAACCTGGCTTGTTGACAAGACACCTATGTTTCTTGACCTTTTAAACTCCGATACACAGAATGAGCAATCACTGTCCATTGACTATTATTGCTTAACTCAACAGTCTGTGGAGATGTACTTTGTAAGATGGGGAGAAAGAAAGTAGGTGCCATCAACTTGGTCCTAAAAATTGTTGACTTCATCTCATGTGCCAAAGAGTAGAAAATGACTTTAGGGAGGCTGTGAGGGGAAGACAGGAAAGGAGGCTGATGCATCCGAGGCAGCAGCACAGGCTGGCCTAACTGACACGTTTCTCTGGCTCTTTCCCCTACATGCTCTGGACCTTCCTGATAGGAGCTGGAAACTTCATTTTTTTGAGCTTTGTTGTTTCAAAAACAACCTCCCCAGTAAATACAAGAAAGTTATATATTTGGAATTTAAACGTTTAAATACATAAGTTGATTTTTTAAAAAAACTTACGAGGCTGGGTTTTTGTTTTACAATGTTCCCTTCCTCTGATTTTGATACAATTCTCGAAATCTTTCCATGATTTCCTCAAGTGCACAAAAATAGCTTTGAAAGGAGACCCAAACCAAGTGATGATTTTTATGACTGATTAGATCTTGGCTTAAAGAGTAGCATTATGATTATAAAGCTTAGTTTCAACTGCTAAATATTTTTTGAAAACACTGAAGAGAAAACATACTTCCTCAACAGTTATGCTGAAGCCTAAAGGTTTCAGAACACAGTTAAACAAAAAGTTCTATAATCCATTTGTGATATTAACTTACATATTCCTTCATACAGGCAAATAAGATAAACACTAAGATAAAACAATAATAAATGAATAAAATAAAATCCCCAAATAATACCCCCTTATTCTTTCTCAAAAGTAAATTTCGAATCTTACCACATTACACTATTCTCAAAAGGGAACTCCTCAAATGGTCTATCGGACCAGGAATTCCTATGCTACCATTGATACATTGTTACTAAATTTAAGTGCTTCTTTAATTCAACTTACTGGCAAAATTGTATACTCAGGAGCACCACATAGTGAACTGTGAAACAGAGAGAAAAGACTCAATTGAAAGAGAGGGATATACCTAGACAAAAACCTAGCCAACAAGCTAAGGATTATTAGAGGATATGGACTCAGATGCTTTCAATAAACCAATAGCTATTTATTAAAATCTATTACGGATAGGGATCACAGGAGAGAAAACAGTAGAGTAAGATACACTCAAATCCCTCCTATGAGCGAAAACACTCATCCCCATCATGTGTGTTTTATAATCAGGGGCTTGAATTTGGCTCCACCCGGTGTGTTTCTCTGACAAGCTTCTTAATCCTCTGAGCCTCAGTTTCTCAATCTGCAAAATGGGGTAATAAAACCCATCCCATAGAGTTTCCCTGAGGATTGAATTAAATGAGACAACATAGGGAAAGTGTCTCTCATTAGATGTCAGTAAATGTTATTTCCTTTCTCATGATATACTGCCAAGAAAGCCGTATCTAATAAATAACAAATGCAGTATTCTACCTGGAAAGGGTCTGTCTGCATCACCCCCATGCAGAGGAACTCCCTTATTTTCTGGCATATACTTCTTGGTAATGGGCAAAGACATCAGCCGGATGTGATGGATGAGTGAGCGCCAGGTATGAGCTCCAGAAAGCACTGGTTCAGGTGGTAATGGGCTGAAAGGTTGAATCACAAAGTAGGCAGTGAGCAAGATTAATCCCAGGGTTACGACGACCTACAAGGAAAGACAGGAAATGGATTAATAATTGTTACAGCAAACAAAATACTTTTAGGCCAAGGAAAAAAAAAACAGGCATCTTCTACTATTTCCAGTGTGCTTTAAGAACTAATCCGTCTTCATAAACAAGCCATTGACATTCACTTCTGAAAGCATTTAAAGCTTGAGAACTGTGAGGACTGCAAGGCTCACCAAGCTTTTATCATACAGACCAGGGGCTATGTCCATCATTTAAAAATATACACAGATACAGTTAATGATAAATACACATCTTTCATCTAGAACATTTAACAAAGTAGTCAAATTTGCTAATAACACATCGTAACAAAGAGTAAAGGCCAATTTATTCATAGAAAAACCAAGGTTCAGTGGTGGAATCAGTCAACAGTAATATTTGGGGAGAATGTTGAAGAGTTTGTGCTCTAAGCTATTTCCAAGTCAGAACACATTTTTACCTTGTACACAGCTAGAAGGAGGGGATACTGGGGTGGCCCCCTCTGAGGTTCATTCTTTTCCAGTAGCTGTCTGATAAATTTTTCAATTGCTTTCTCTGACATGCCACACTGATGGCCCGTCTGTCTTACCAAATCAACAGTCTCTGAAAGTTTGTCATAAATGCTGAGCTCATTAGCAGCAAGATCCATGTCTTCTAATACAAAATCCCTGAGAGAGAGAGAAAATGAATGCAAAAAGAAAGATGGTTTCTTTAAAGTACTTCCTCCACAAAGTTATTTCCTTTAGAACAGTGCTTTCTGACCACCTGTGGGGAAGGAACAATTCTTCTGTAAAACACAATGAATACACTGAGACAATGTCAAGATGCAATACAAGTTTTTAAGTGTTTTTTAATTGTGGGCTAGTAATAAATGGTTCACAGGCCAGCACTTTGAGGAATACCTGTCCAGGGCACAATAAATCCCTAATGGGACTCAGAAACACTAGCGCCATCCAAAATGATTTCTGAAACCAATCACAGGAGATCTGCTGCTGGTAATTTACTAAAATAAAAAGAAATGAAATATGGAAAGTGTTGTTGATCAATTATTTATTTCCTTTCACATCAGATGAACCTTTTAGCAACACAAGGGGAGGAACTTATCACTGAAGGCAAGATTTACTGAGGAACACATTGATATGCTTTGCTCCTGACAGACCAAGAATTTCAGACAACACAAAACCATGGCATGGTAGCGCTTCAGACTTAGCAGGTTGCAGTCCTCATGCTTTTCTGCAAATACAATCTCAGACAATAAAGGGCATTCTGTTTATATTTTACATACTTAAAGGCCTAAGATCTATAACTCATTTCAAAATTCAATTTGCATTCTAATAGTTATTTTAAAGCCAGATTGTTTCACAGTGGCCACAGAATCAAAGGCAAAAAAGAATTCTCTCTGTATCATGTTTCACAGTGGCCACAGAATAAAAGACAAAAATTAAAGGCAAAATAGAATTCTCTGTATCATTTGTAAAATGAAATAAAAAAGTTCTTTTAAAAAGTGCTTGTGCTACAGAACAATGTTTTTCTTCATTTGTAGGAGGAAAAGCAGTGCTTGGGATCTGTGCTCTCTTCTGCTGGCTGGGTTTTGTTGTTGTTGTTATTTTCTTGCTTTTACATTGCAGAGGGTCCTCTTATTTCACATATTTCATCCCCAAGGTGTTGCTAAGATCAAAAAGCACTGACATGGTACAACTATTTCCTCAGTAAGGAGATGCTGCCCCCTGTAGAACAGAGGACAACAGTCATGAAGCTCCAGCAGAGGAAGAGGTCTGCACTGCCACAAACCAGCACACATCCCGGCATAGCTCCTCTTCTAACAATGCCTCCTCTGATGACTCCTTCCCTTTGGTCCTCTTTCTATTAACCTTTTACTTCACTGGTTCTTAACTGTGCCTGCACATTAGAATCACCTAGAGAGCTTTTAATGAATGCTCATACCAGGGCCCCAACCCAAGACCAACTAAATCAGAATCAGACTTCTAATGGTGGATTAACAGGCAGGTAATCTAGACTTTGGGGATTGGGGGAGGGAGGGAGGAACCCCACATTAAAGGGGACACAACCTTTCTCCAAACTCTCTGCCGTTGCTCAAACTGTTTTTTTAAGACCACAAAGGCCTTCATTTCAAGGTTCAGGTAAAAGGATGGTGAAAACTCTATTTTAAAATGTGCAGTTTTGGGAATTCCGTGGCGGTCCAGTGGTTGGGACTCAGTGCTTTCACTGCTAAGGGCCCAGGTTCAATCCGTGGTCGGGGAACTAGGATCCCACAAGCTGTGTGGCGTGGCCAAATAAAATAAAATGTGTATTTTCCACAAATGGTGCTGGGACAACTGCATATCCACATGCAAAAGAATGAAGTTGGATGCTTCCTTATACCACAGACAAAAATTAACTCAAAACGGATAAAAGACCTAAACTTAAGAGTTAAACTATAAAACTCTTAGAAGAAAACAAAGGGGGAAATTTTTATAACACTGGATTAGGCAATGGCTTCTTAGATATGACACCAAAAGCACAAGTAGCAAAAGAAAAATAAATTAGACTACATCAAAATTAACAATTTTTGTACTTCAGATGATACCATCAAGAAAGTAAAACGACAACCTACAGAATGGGGGGGCAATATTTGCAAATCATATATCTGTTAAGGGACAGGTATTCAGAGTTCATGAAGAATTCTTACAACTCAATTATAAAAAGACAAATACCCAATTAAAAATGGGCAAAGTATTTGAATAGATATTTCTCCACAGAAGATATACAAATGGCCAACAAACTCATGAAAAGATGTTTAACATCATTAGCCATCAAGGAAGTGTAAATCAAAACCACAATAAGATACCACTTCTCACCCACTGGGGTGACTATAATCAAAAAGTCAGATAATAACAAGTGCTGGCAGTGGAACTCTTGTACACTGTGGCTAGGAATGTAAAATGATGCAGCTGCTTTGGAAAACAGTTTGGCAGTTCCTCAAAAACTCAAATGTAGAGTTACCATATGACCCAGGAATTCCACGTGTATGTACCCACGATAATTTACAACAAATATCCACACAAAAACTTGTATGTGAACATTTAAGCAGCATTATTCATAATAGCTCAAAAATGGAAGCAACCCAAATGTCCATAAATGGATACACAAAATGGATATTAATAATATCCATACATCAATAATATTCATACCATGGAATATTACTGGACAATAAAAAGGAATAAAGTACTGATACATGCTACAACATGGATGAACCTTGAAAACATTATGCTAAGTGAAGGAAGACAGTCACAAAAGACTACGTATTACATGACTGCATTTATATGAAAAGTCAAGGATAGGCAAATCTATAGAGACAGAAAATAGATTAATTAGGGGTTGCCTAGGGGAGGGGGTGGGGAGGAATGGGGAGCGACTGTTAATATAGGGTTTCTCCCTGGAGTGACAAAAATGTTCAAAACAAATTGTGATGGTTGCACAACTTTGTGAATATACAAAAACCACTGAATTGTACATTTTATAATGAATTTCATGGTGAATTTCATGGCATAGAAATTATATCTCAATAAAGATGTTGTAAAATGTGGACTTATAGAATCTGAACTTACCCTGTTGTGGCATTTATTACACTCATTGCTATGATTCTGGCTAAGTCACTCGGTCTATTTCCTCATCCAAAAGATAAGAGGATTGAACCAGAAAATTTTTCAAGTTTCCTCTAGCTCTAAAATTCTAGGAGTATATGAATATTTCAGGAAGCAGAAAAAATTCAATACATTAGAAGTTAAAGCCTTATGTCCAACTGCATTCCTATATTACCATTTCTTGTTATGCCATCTGATATGCCAGGTGTTGTGCTAAGCACTGCAGAAACATTATCTCAGTAAATCGTCACAGCAATCCCATACGGTAAGTGTGATTAATCCCGTTTCACAGATGTGGAAACTAAGGCTCAGAAAGGTTTCATAACTCGCCAGGATGTGAACACAAGTGTGCCTGACTTCAGGGCTGGTGCTTTTAATCTTTATGCACGCTGCCTCCCTTACCAAGTATGTTCCTATTCTGAGCAGGCAGTTCCGAAACCACAACACCGTGTCCCTTGATTATCACAAATGAGTGGTTGAAAACTGGAAAGTGATCGACTACAATGATTCCTGAAAAAAGAATAAAGCAATAACTTATTACAATATTTTTCACATCTTGCTTTTGTGACCAGTGATTCCAGAGACACAGCATTTTCCTGTTTAAATGAACAAAGATATTCCAAGCAAGCAAGCAAGCTACAATAAATTATCCAACAATACCCAGTCAAAATCCATTAAAACTCAGTAGAGGACCAGAAAAGGAAAGCAGTGGGAATTCTAAAAAAAAAATTCCAGTAAAAAACTTTAAAGATTTGAGAGGTGGGGGCACCTGTAGGTATCCTCAGGGAGAAGAGAACGTCACATTGGTGTGCACTTACGGGCACCGTGAAGGGGAAAGTGCAGGTGAGGCTAAAAGGAGAACCAACTATCATCGGTTTTGAAGACTGTTTCACAATCTTTGTAAACCTCTGACCACTTTTGATACGCATAAAAATCTCATTAAACTCCCAGTTTGTGTTGCAAATAGGGTTTTTTAAATTTCAAGTACACAGTGGTAATATGATACTGAATACATACATTTTTGCAAGCTGTACATCCTTCTTCTCCGAGATTCTGACACATTTCTCAAGTTATCAGAAGGGTAGTTACTAATAATTTAGTGACGTTTTCAAGAGCACATGGAGGTCCTGATAAAAAGCCTTCCTTTCGCCTTTGGTAAGATCAGTGGTTCTCAACTGGGGGCAACTCTGCCCCTGTGGGGATATTTGGAAAGTCTGGAGACATTTGTGATTGTCACACTTGAGGGTACTACTGGCATCTAGTGGCTATGACGTTAATTAAACAACAAAAAAATCTTGTCCCTTTAGGTCAGACTATAGAGCAGCTCCCTTGCTGCAATCTGCTGCAATTCAACCCTCAACACGACAGTTTGTATTAAAAACAAAAACAAAAAACTTGTCCCTTAAAAAAAAACACACAAAATCATGGCTAAGCATCAAGTATATTCATTTAGACTGAGTGAAATCAGCTGAAGCTTGATGGCAATCCCTTTACCTCCAGAAAGAAGGTCCAACTCTGGCAGAAATGAGCTTTGCCTCAGAGGGAAGTTCCGATGAGCGAGCTTGACTCTTAACACTGGCTTATACCTGCAAGGGCACAGGCAGAATCACTTGCAGAGTTGCAAAAATCAAGGTATCATGCACCACCTTGGATATACTGAATTGTCAGAACCTTGGGAATGGGACCCAGGTGCAGATTTCAAACCTCTTCCCTACTGATTACAGACACACCCCACAATTAGGAGACTTTGCTGCGGAACAGTGGAATCTCAACTGGGGTGATTCTGCTCCAGAATCATAGCTATTAAAATGAATAATTCTCTAACATCACCTAATATCTAGTCCACAGTCAAATTTCCCCCAAAGGTCCAAAAAAAAGAAAGAAAGAAAGGCAAGCCATGTAACTTTTTAGAAGTCTAGGATACAACCAATGATCACATTATCACAGTGAGCTGTCATGTCTCTTTGGTCTACTTAAATCTACAATAGATGCTGGTGTGTGTGTGTTTTTTTTTTCTGGCCTTTTATGACATTGACATATTTGAAGCAGGAATCCCCACATCTTTAAACATATTTCTACTTATTCCTATCTTCACCACTTCTAGTTTCTACCATTAAAAAAAAAAAATCCTTCCTCTTCAGATTTCCAGAGCTCATACTCTTCCTCCCTTCAGAGCCAAGCTCCCTTTAAAAAAAAAAAAAAGTATCACTTCACCTTCTTGTTTCTCAGGTCACCATTCGTTTCTGACCCCCTCAGGCCACTGATACTGCTCTCACTAAGGTCACCAAAGGCTTTCTACACATGCCAAGTCCAAAGGACGTTTTTTCAGTTAACACCTTATCTGACCTCTCTGCAGCAGCTGCCATTGCTACCCATTATCTCCCTCAAGGGCTCTCAAACCTTGGCATAATTCTCTTGTTCTCTTCTGAGTCTATGTCCTGGAATGTTGGTATTCATCACGGTTGTCCTTGACCGTCTCATTCCCTCCATGGCTTTAATCACCAGCTATTAGTGATTTCCAAATCTCTTCTCCAGTCTAGAACTCTCTCCAAAACTCAAGACCCATCTATCTACCTACCTACCAGACACCCTGGCCCAAATTTCCTATAGTCCCCTATATGTAATGTGTTCCTAACTGACTTATTTTTCCCCTGCAAACCATTTCTCCTACTATATTCCTTTTCTTAATTAATGGAAACACCAGTTCTCCAAATTTAAAACCTCTCCTCCTGCTTCTTCATCCCCACTAATGAACCAATCACCAAATCCTCAATTCTACATCCTGTATAGCTCTCACATTCATCACCTCCTCTTCAGCTCTACGTGAGCGGCAGTCAAGGCCCTCAACATCTCTCCCACACACCATCACAAAGATATATTTAATCTCTATATTTCCAATCCTCTTTCTCCTTTCTTATCCATCCTCTACAAGTTATTTTTCTAAAACACAAATTGGTGCACATTGCTCATCTATTTAAAGCACCCTCCTTGACTTCCCATGTCCTGCTAGGGAACAATTTAGCATGGTGGTTAAGAACACAGGCACCGGAGTTAGAAAAAGCTGAATGCAAATACTGGATTCTCCATCTACTGTGTGGCCATGAGTCACTGTTTACCCTCTTTAAGCCTCAAATTTTCATTTATAAAATGAGGATAATTGTGTCTTTCCAACCATGTTGTTAAGGGATTATAAGGTGATGTATCGAAAACATTTGTCTCAATACCCAAATTAAATACTTAATAATTATTATAAGATGAAGTCCAAATTACTTAGCATGGCCCTTTATGATCTGGTTACTGCCTACCTGTTCAGTCTCATTTCCCATTCCTCCCTCACAGTTTTCACTGCCATACTATTTCACATCTTTTTGCTTTTGTACACGTAATTTCCTTTGCTTACAAAACCTAGCCCCCAGTGCTTTGCCCAATGACTGAACGCTATCCCAACCTTCATTTTTGCCCTATGAACCTTAAACACAATTCTATCATTTTGTATTACATCTACTTCCTTGTCTTCCTCTCACACTAAATTGTTTCTTGAAAGCAGAGATAAGTGGAGAAAATAACAACACAAATAACAGACATGGAAATTCACCTCAGAGACATGGAACCTTATCAGTGTCTGTTGAACAAATTTATAGAAAAGATCTAAAGTGATCATTTTGTTCTCAAACTAATTTGATGTAAGTAATGGTTCATTTATTTTACTTTTTCTTCTTATTTTTTAAAAATACATCAGCCTAATGAGAGGTTAGGTGAGCAAGTTAGGAACTTTACACTTGGATATTTTTTGTCGAGTTTGAGAGCAGCTGTGGAAGAATAGGGATTCAAACTGGGTCTCGAAAATTGTTTTGGTCCAAAGCAGAAAGGGTAAACAGGGCCTATGGTATTCAAGCTGGGCGATGTGAACTTCAGTCAAAAGTTCAATGTAGGGCTTCCCTGGTGGCGCAGTGGTTGAGAGTCCGCCTGCCGATGCAGGGGACGCGGGTTTGTGCCCCGGTCCGGGAGGATCCCACATGCCGCGGAGTGGCTGGGCCCGTGAGTCATGGCCGCTGAGCCTGCGCGTAAAACTTCAACGTAGCAAAGCTAAATCTGGTTAAGGCATGTTGTTCCTTAGAGGGAAACTGTGATAACTCAAACTCAAATAAGCAAACTTATTAAGGGAGAGATGCCCAAAGAACATTTCACCATGGGAACAACTAAATGAGCAAACAGAAAAAGCCAGAATAGTAAGTATCTGGGAATAGTCTCTATTATAAGGAGACGACCAAATACTTTAAAAGAAGTATACTGGTGAATACCAAGGCTATGCAGGCTCTTAGACCAGAAAAAGTGTGGCTTGCAGGGTTAATGGTCTTAAAATACTACGCGGAACACGAGGCAGGCAAATTTCCTTGTTCTAAAAGATTACAAACAGCTCATTTACTTGGGTTAATAAACCAAGTCATATTCCTTTCTGAAATCCGAGATGCCATGTTTATCATATACCAAGATCACACTTTAAAAAAGCATTCTCTCCTTAACAATTATTAGAAAAAGATGTTTCGGAGGGGGGGCGGGGAATCTACTCTCAACCTACCAAAAAGAAAAAAAATTAGAAATCTGTCAAAAGGGCAGTGAAATCTAGACTTCGCTAGCACCGCTGTGTTGGACACTGCTTATGACGCCCGCGAAACAAGTTCAATTAAGATCGAACTCGCTTTGCTCACCCCGGCAGAGCCAAGAAAAAAAGAGGAAAAGTCACAAGGGACTCGACCCCGGGGGAGTTGCAGGAGGATGCCGTCAGTCTGCAAAACGCCGAAGGCTCAGAAAAGGGGTCAGCCCAGGGACAGGAGTGGCAGTGGCCCCGAAAGGTGGGCTGCGCGAGGATGTCATAGACGGGTGCGGTGACGAGGCTGTCACGAAGCTGCCTCCCCCCTCCCGGCCTCGGGCCCCAGTCACTCACATGCGGGGCCCGCGCCCCCTCGGGCTCCTCCCGCCTCGGGGACACTAAACTGCCGGGCGTGGAGTATAGGCCGACAACTTCCTGCTTCCGGGCGCGCAACCCGGAAGCAACTCCTACGCCAAAGGCGAGGCAGCGCTCTTTCTACCCGCCCCACGCTTCCGCCAGAAGCCGAAAGCACAAAGACTCGGAGCGCTCGGGAACTCTCGCGAGATCTGGAGAGAACGGGTTCCTGCTCCCCCTGGCGTTCTTTCTTCTTCGGTCCTCTTCAGTTCTCTCCAGGGTTTCTCCTCTTCGTGGGCTACCACGGACTTCATAGCTGAACTGATTCATTCAGTGAGCGTTTGCTGAGCCTACTACGTGCCAGGCAGCGTGTTAGGCATTAAGGGGTCGGAGTGGGAGGGATAACGTAAATGGTGGGCAGGCCCTTGGGATCTAAAAGAAAGGCAGGCAAACAAATCACTCAGATTTACACACTGCCCACTCATTAATGTTAATTGAGAGTTTACTCTTTGCCAGACATTACAAAGGACTTTACATTCGCGAAACTGCTTCAACAACCTCCATTTACCCTCATACCAAACAAGCTGAAGTTTATGGAAAGGTTAAATTGCTCGAGATTACACTGGAAGCTCCCTCTGTTCAGGTTCTGGTGTGGAACAGGCCGTGTGAATGTTGAACTGAATTAGGACATGGTCCGTAACATGGGCTGTTAACAATCTTCTCGGTGAGAAGAAAATCTGACCCAAGCAGTTAGACAACGATGGAAGGCGGCACTGAATTAAAGACCAAGAAGAGAGAAGGGGAGAGAGTCTGCTGTAGACAGGAAGAGTAGAGACGTTTTCTGAAGGAGTTGGAACAAGGACATGGGCGAAGTTTGGGAAAGCATTGCAAGGAAAAGGACTAGCTTGGGCAGAGGTCTGGAAGTGGGAATGCTGGTGCCACATTTAAGGCTTGGATAATAAAATAATAGGAAATCAGGCTGGAGAAGTCAGTGAGTGGTCAATGATGAAGGGCCTTCAAGCCCAGGCCAAGTGATTTGGGACTTTAATGGGCAAAGGGAAGCCATTTAATACTTCATGGCAATATCTTGTAGTATTTCGGGAGGAGGGCTTTGGCTTCTGTGTGTAAGATGTATTAGTGGGGGGAAGCCAAAAGGCAGGGAACCCAGCAAAGGGGCTTCTGAAATAATCCTGGTGTTAAAGGTCTGAAACAGCGGTGGGAATGGGAAGGAAGGGATACAATTTGGGGATCTTTGGAAAAAAGAACTGACACATCTTGATGTGTCACTCATAGGGAGCAGAGAGAAAGAGGATGATCTTCAGGTTTCCAGCTCAAAAAATGATGTTTCTGTAAAAGTTTATAATTTTGTTTTTAGTAAGGGACATTTATTCAGAAGACACATTAAGCTTAGATACAGAATAAATGAAGTATTATACAAGCTACAATTTAATAGTGAATTTAGAAAAGGAATCCACACCTCTTTGTCAACTCTGTCCTGAAGTCACATCTAATGTTCTCTTGGGGACAAAAAGGCCAACAAATACTGAGCCTCTTGAGGAAGGATTTGGAATGAGCCAGCAAGACGCTGTCTTATTCTTGTGTTAAACCCCAATACGTCCTCATGGTACCCTAAGCCTCCCAAGGTATACAGTAAGGAACTACATAAAGTCCAAAGAAAGGAAACTCAGATAACAGACAGAAAGGACCAATGATGAAAACTTTTCCATCCAGCTCAAGGGTCATAACACAAAACTGCAGGAAGTGTAAAATTAATTATACCTTACATTAGCACAACACTCATCAGTCTAAAAAGTTATTTTCTGTCCATTAGTCATTTAGTGAAACCTGAGCATCCTATGTTCAGTCCTCTTCAAGGAGGGCACAAAGATGAAGGAGGCACAGTTATACTTTCAAGGAGCTCACTGTCTACTTTGACCTTTACAACCTTGTATACCCTTATTCCTGCTTGGCAATTAAGGAAACTAGGATTGAACTGTGGTCAAGAGCACAGGCTCACAGCTGTGGTACTTTGAGCAAATTATTTAATCTCTGTAAGCCTCAGTTTCCTCAAAGTAAAAAGGGAATAGTGATATCTACCTCCTGTGGGTTTGAAGATTAAGTGTTGTCAAAAGTTCAGAAATAAGCTACAAGGATATATTGCATAGCACAGGGAATAGAGCAATAGAGCAATATTTTATAATAACTATAAATGGAGTAAAACTTTTAAATATTGTGAATCACTAGGTTATACACCTGAAACTTACAAAATATTGTAAATCGACTGTACCTCAGTTTTTGTTTTTTTAATTTTTATTTATGTCTGTGTTCGGTCTTCGTTTCTGTGCGAGGGCTTTCTCTAGTTGTGGCGAGCGGGCCTCTCACTGTCGCGGCCTCTCTTGTTGTGAAGCACAGGCTCCAGACGCGCAGGCTCAGTAGTTGTGGCTCACGGGCCTAGTTGTTCTGCGGCATGTGGGATCTTCCCAGACCAGGGCTCGAACCCATGTCCCCTGCGTTGGCAGGCAGATTCTCAACCACTGCGCCACCAGTAAACCCCTGTACCTCAGTTTAAAGAAAAATTTTTTTAATCTTTGGCTGCGTTGGGTCTTCATTGCTGCATATGGGCTTTCTCTAGTTGCGGCAAGAGGGGGCTACTCTTTGTTGCGGTGCGCAGGCTTCTCATTGCTGTGGCTTCTCTTGTTGTGGAGCACGGGCTCTAGGCGCAGGGGTTTCAGTAGTTGTGGCACGTGGGCTTAGTTGCTCTGTGGCATGTGGGATCTTCACAGACGAGGGATCGAACCCATGTCCCCTGCATTGGCAGGCGGATTCTTAACCACTGCACCAGCAGGGAAGTCCCTGTACCTCAGTTTTTTAAAAATTTCAGAAATAGCAGAAGTAAAACACTGGATCACTGGAATAGTAGTTAGTAAAATTTATTGCACACACACACAATCACACACACACACACATACACACAACAGTTTGCAAACTGGGGCACTCAGAACATGGAAAGAGGCTCAAAGGTATATGTTTATAAAGCAGCTTATACAGTGAGGAGGCAGTGATTGTTTATTCTTCACAGTGGTTGGTTATACTATTAAGAGTTTTCCTAGTGATAGGGAATGGGTTAAAAGTGGTTACCTCACATTAATTTTGGGGAAGTTTAAGTTTCGTTTATGATTTTCAGAGGCATTAACAAGAAATGGCCCAAGTTAAGTTTTGCTTGTTTTACAGAATAAGCTAAATTAAGTTTTACTTGTATGACTAACCTGATTTGTCTGCTCAGGGAATTTCCAAGTCTGGGCTCCATTTGTGTTTGATTCTTAACAATGTGAAAGTACACAATAGTCCTTAGCTGGATGCCAGGCACAAAGTAAGCATTCATTTAGCCATCATTATTAAGTGGTGTGCAAAGCATTTACTATATGTTTATTTACCCCATTTCTTTTTTGTCCTCCCTCCAAACCTCGTCTCATTGCCTCTACTTTGCTTCTCTTTGATCCTGAGCAAACTCTAACAACCTTGGGGCATCATCTATCCCAGCCACAGTCACTCTAAGCCTTGCTCTAGCCCTGATCTATTTGATCTTCATTCTCCTGTCTCTCCCTTCCCTTATCTCTCATTTTCTTCCCTGTCCTTCCCTCTCCCCTCTCTCCAGACTGTGCCTTTGGAGTCTAGAAGCTCTGATTTGCTGTATGGCTATGGACAAATAAGTCCTTTAATTGCTGAGTCTCAGTTTTCACATCTGAAAAATGGGAATAACAACATCTACTTTATATGATTGTTTTGCGCAGTAGATTATAATGTTCAAGTGCTCTGTAAATATACAGCGCCTTACAAGCGTTAGTTACTGGCGTCTCTCATCTCTATTCCCTTCCACTCTTCCTCTCCTTAGACTGTGGGACTTAGTGAATTCTTCCAAATGAAAGGTTAGGATTTAACGCCAATAGAAGTGCAAATTTGCTGGTTGGTCACGCCTTCCACGCCTAAAAGAACCAATCAGAGCGTCCGGAGAGTGGCGCGGCCTCTCTCCACTTGGAGGCCAACTTTTATAGAGCTTGCACTTTTCTCCGTCCTTGCGGACAGCTTGCTTTCGCCTTGCACCCCGGATTCTCGTCCTTGGAGGTGGGGGTCCTTCCCCTTCCTCATCTCAAACACCCAAATTTTGGCATCGCTAGAGGTGAATGGCGGGAACCGGAAGTGTGTGCAGCGGCGGCGGGTACCCGGCGAATCGGGTCCCAGGCGAATCGCCGGAAGTAACAATTGCTACGGGAAGTTTCCGCCAGCTTCGCTATGGCGGCGATCCCTCCAGACTCCTGGCAGCCGCCCAACGTATACTTGGAGACCAGGTGAGGGTCTGGCCTCTGGGCCTGGGCTGGCGGAGGCGACGCGGAGCCCAGGCTTAGCCGCGGGGCTGGGTTCCCGGCGCGCTCCTTCTGGAGGCCGACCTCCTCGTGGAGCCGCGGTCGTGGGGGCGGCCTGAGGGCTGAGTGGGGACCGCCAATGCCCGCGTCCGAGCTCCGCACCGACTCGCGCTGAGACTTTAGCGACAGAGGCCCGATTGCCTTCCTCTCACCCCTCCGTTCATTCATCCTTTCATTCAACTAACGAGTATTGAATCTACAGGCCGGGGACGTAGGATCTGAGGGTCAGAGGTGGATAAAACACAGCCTTGCCTTTAGAAGCTTACAGTATAGTGAAGGAGACAGATTTGTAAATATTAAGGTTGTAAGTAGCACAGTTGTATAAACAGATTTTTAGGAGAACACAGGAAGAAGCACATTTATTCTCTCCTATCAAAGAGTGATAATATTGAGCACAAACAGCTAGTGCCATGCCCCTGATGTGTAGCATCCCATTTAGTTTAATCCTCTTAGCAACTCAGATCATGTAGGTACAATTCCAGCTTCTCTCCAGTTTTAGCAGGAGAAATGTCAAAATTTGCAGAGTAGATGGCTTGATTAAACCCATGTAGCTAGTAAGTAGGGGAACCTCATTTGGAGCCTGGTCTGTCTGCCTCACGTGCTAGGTTCTTTAGCCCCATTCATTCCATTGCCTCCTTGGAAAAAGTTAAAAGTGATCTTTCCAAAGTAGGACAAATAACCTTAAGTAACTTCTTACTACTACAACAGTATAAAATTGAAATTCTGTAGTCTGACCTTCATCCTGGCCTTTGCCTACCTCTCTCCCTACATCTGCTGTTCTCACATCAGCAGCCAAGTTCCAGCCATCGTCTTTCCATCTTTCTATTCTTGCCCATGCTGCTTTTCCATCAGCGCACAGTTCTCTGAGATGCTGCTCTTGCCCCTTGGCCATTTTCCCCACCTTCTTAATGAGAAAATTCTACTTTTTCTGGCCTCAACTTGAAAGTATGTTATTTCTGAATTCACCTGTTAGTTTTTTAATTACAACATAAATCAAAATTTAAATCCAAGCAGTTGTAGAAGTGTATAGAATAAGAAGTGAAAGCAACTCCTCTCTGTAAAAACACCATTAGTAGTTTGTTGGATGACCATCCAGATCTTTTTCTCTGTACACACAGGCATCTCTTTTATGTTCTATTTTTAAACAATAATAAGATTGTATGATCATATTATATATATATATATATTTTCTGTAATTTGCTTTTCTTTTGCACACTAGTACATGCAGCCTTCCGTAGTATGGATATTTCATAATTTAGTCATTCCCTCTTTGAAGACTTAAATTGCTTCTCATATTTTTTTTTGTTAGGACAAATAACTGGCATAAACATCCTTGCACATATTGTATTCTTAAGCATTTTTGTAAGTTTCTCCATAGAATAGAAACTTAGAAGTTGAAATTGCTGTCAAAAGGTATGCACATTTCCAACTTGTATAGGTATTTTCTGATTGCCATTCCAAAAAGTTATTCCCTGTATTTTACAAATATCCACCAGAATGTTGCTCTGTGAGAGGAAAAGCACTTAGAACTGTATCTTGCAGAGTAGTTGTTAATCCGTGTTGAATGTTAGGAGTGTGAAGGATGAATTGCCAGTAGAAAGGCTTTCAGAAAGCTATGTTCTAGCACATAGTACATTTATTAATAGAGTGCTCACACTGTGCTTGGCACTGGGTATTCAGGCTATACAGAGTTGACTCAGTTCACACATTCTTGGAGCTTAAAGTCTAGGTGAGTGATGAAATGGAGGGGAAGGCACCTGTCCTAAGTCTTACTTCTTCCTTTTCCTTAGCACTACTTCTAGGGGAAAAGCACTCATCACATTGGGCAGGTATAAAGCTTTGAAGTAATCAGATTTTGCCTTTGTTGTACCCTTCCTAAATACACACAAACTATACCTTTTTTTTTTTCCCATTAAATTTTTTAATGAATAGGTAGTAATTTACATAGCTCTAAACTACAAAAGCTTAAAAAAGATGTTCACTGAAAACCTTCCTGTCTCCCATTTACCCACTTTCCACCCCCACCCAGAAACTTATATATGTATAAATAAATTTGAATTCCCAATTTTTTAATGTCCAACTTAAAAAGAATTACAAATTAAGTGTAAGATTTTTTTCCCCTAATTCAGGGGTTGGTTATATTGGTTTCCAATGATCAGTGATTTCTTGTATACAAGGTGTTAGAATTTTTAGTTGTCCATGGTTATTTTGCTTAAAAGAAGTACCAGAAGCCCCTGCATGTTTTACTCAAAGGAGGTATCTGTGTTTATGTTATTTGCATTGTGTTGTTTTCCTTTGCTGAGCATGAAATCTGATATTTATCATAATTTCATGATTTATAAGCTTGAAAAGGAAGAGTCATGGAGCAGTCCCATAACGTTTCTGTCTGCTGTGACCTTGTTCTTGACTGGAGCTCTACTGTCCTCTCCCCCTGCAGCATGGGGATCATCGTGCTGGAGCTGTACTGGAAGCATGCTCCAAAGACTTGTAAGAACTTTGCTGAATTGGCTCGTCGAGGTTACTACAATGGCACCAAATTCCACAGAATCATCAAAGACTTTATGATCCAGGGAGGTGACCCAACAGGGACAGGTACAGTTAAGTCAACGTTAGTTTCTGAAGCCTCATGCTGTTATAACTGAGTAGAAGGTAGCCAGGGCTCTCTTCCACATACCAGGGACTGGGTTAGTTGATTCTGGTGACTACTTCTGCCCTTGCTAGCACACCCCCTTCCCCAAACACACACAAGTGGAATTGACCAGAAACCAATCTTGACTCCCGGACTCTATAGAGCTTCTCATGACTTCTGTGTATTGCTTACTAAGAGCAAATAATGTTTGCCTGAATTATAGTAATGCATAGAGTAGTCTGGATAATCAGGAGTAAAGAAGGACATTTTCAGTGTTTTGAGGAAAAGAAAATAGTGGGTTCTTAGATTGATTCATTCATTTAACAAATACTGAGCACCTGCCTTGTGTCATATATTTTTCTGAGCTCTGGGATATGGCTGTGCCTAGAGAAAAAAAAAAAAACAAAACTTCCTGCTCTCAATAAAGCAGGAAAAGGATGTGGGGATGGGATTTTAGTAGAAAGGTCAGGGAAGTCCTGTCTGAAAGATGTGATTGGAACAGAGATCTGAAGGAAGTGAAGGAATGAACCTTGTGACTGAGAGAAGAACATTCCCATGGAGGGAAGAGTAGACCCAGAGGCTGTGAGTCAGGAGCCTAGATAGGAGATCATGTAGGACCTTGTAGGGCATAGTAGAGACTTTGGGTTTTATTCTGAATAAGATGGGAGCCATTAGAAGGTTTTGAGCAAAGGAGTGACATGATCTGACTTATTCTTTAAAAAGATCACTCTGGGAATTCCCTGGCGGTCCAGTGGTTAGGGGTCTGTGCTTCCACTGCAGGGGGCACGGGTTCGATCGCTGGTCGTCAGGGAACTAAGATCCCACATGCTGTGTGGCACAGCCAAAAAAAAAAAGGTCACTCTGACTGCTGTTTGGAGAATAGATGATGTGGGGCAAGAGTGAGAGCTGGGAACCAGTTGGAAAGCTGTTGTAGTCATCCAGTCTAGATATATGTGGTTGGACTAGCCTAATAGTATAGACGGTGGTGAGAAGTGACTGGATTCAGGTTATGTTTTGATAGAAATGGAGCCAGTGGGATTTGCTGAGGTTGGAAGCTGGGAAGGACAGGCGTGTGAGAAAGAGGTGGTCAAGAATGACTTCAAGGGTTTTAACTGGAGTTAAGTGAAATGTGAAGGTGGAGAGAGGAGCATGTTTGGAGGGGGAACATCAAAAATTTGGTTTTGGTTCTGGACACACTATGTTTGAAATGCTTGTCAGATCTTCTGGTGGAAATGTTGATTAATGGGATATGAGTGTAGAGTTCATGGAAAGGTTGGGGATGGAGGTATGAATTTGGGAGTTATCATTGTTGAGTTGGGATTTATTAGTGAAATTGGTAGATGCCAACATTTATAAGTTTCAAGGGCCCTTGCTTCCCAGTCTGCATTTTCTCTGCTAATTCCTATTCCTGCTCTTTTGCCTTTAAATAAGCTTGGTTCTCTCTGTGGCAGTTTTTTCTCAGTCTTTTTCTTCCTTGTCATTCTCAGTTGTCCTTTATCCTTTATGATGAAGAGGCATTCTAGTTTTTCAATATATATGGACGCATTTCAAAATATAGAATATAGAGGAAAGTAGAAAAAAGAATGGAAAAATCACTCATAAGAGGGAATTTCCTTGTGGTCCAGTGGTTAGGACTCTCTGGTTGGGGAGCTAAGATCCTGCAAGCCACGCGGCGTGGCCAAAAAAGAAAAGAAAAGGAAAAAAAAATCACTCATAAGTTTAGCTCCTAAAGATTCCTAACCACCATTAGCTATTCCCCCAATGTCCCACCTCTCAGAAATGATGAACGTTAACTTTTGGCGGCCATTATTCTAGACATCTTTCATTTCAGATACCTAGTTAAAAGGATGGATAACTAGCTAGATGGAAATAATTTCAAGAGAATAGGCTATGTCATGCATGTTATTGTTTTTAAAACAAAAAGTATTTTATTTAATTTTGTATATACTTAACAGAAAAATTGACTTCCTGCTATGAAAGATGAGACAGTTAGTACTTAAATTTCTACCCATTCCTATTGTTTAGGGAAAACTTAGTTTTACTTGCTTCCTATGTTGGGAAAAACTCAGTTCTTCCCTCCTGGGTTTTTCCTTTACTTTTATATGGTCGCACAGAACACTTCACTGACACTTCTGGTCACCAAATGTATGGAATTTTTTCCCCACAACAAGCAGTTCCCTGTGACACCAGCTGTGTTTGATTAATTTGCTAGAGCAGGTCAGAGAACTCAGGGAAACCTAAGTGCTTACTTACATTTACCAGTTTATTAAAGGATATTGTAAGGGATACAGATGAACAGAGATGCTTCAGGTGAGGTCTGGGAAGGTGCTGAGAATGGGAAATTCTGTCCCCATGGAGTTGGGGTGCATCATCCTCCCAGGGTGGATGTGTTCGTCTGCTTTGAAACTCTATAAACCCTGTACTATTGGGATTTTATGGAGGCTTCCTCATGTAGGCATGATCAATTATTAGCTCCATTTCTAGCCTTTCTCCCCTCCTTCCCTCTCTGGAGAAGGGGGTGGGGCAGGCACTGAAAATTCCAAGCTTCTAATCATGACTTGGTCTTTCTGGTGACCAGCCCCCATCCAGGATTCCACCCAGAGTCACCTCATTAGAACAAAAGATGGTCCTAGTGCTCTAATCACTTAGGAATTTATAAGGGTTTCAGGAGCCTGACCCTATCCCCTGTGTCAGGGATAGGGTCAAAGACCAAATATTAGAACAAGAGATGCTCCTGGTGTTCTTACCACTTAGGAATTTACAAAGGTTTTAGAGGCTCTGTATACATAGATACATCTTTTTTTCTATTATCTCACACCTGTCCTCCCTCCCTTGCTCCCACTTTTTTGTTGTTAGTTTTATTTTTCCTTATCAGAGTTTCCAGCATTTTCCATTCTGCACCCGTGAGTCCCTCAGTTACAGTGTGGGTTCTACATTTCAGAGGGTTCAGTGCTCACCACTAGGCTTTTCTATTCACAAGTGGTAGAAGGCAGAATTTATTGTTGAGTGGTTTTTATTGCAAGGGCTGGAGGGTGTTATATTTTCAAACTCAATCATGTTTGAGAATTTCTGCCAGTTACGCTTATAGTTGAAAAAGATCATGGGGCTTCCCTGGTGGAGCAGTGGTTGAGAGTCCGCCTGCCGATGCAGGGGACACGGGTTCGTGCCCCGGTCTGGGAAGATCCCACATGCCACGGAGCGGCTGGGCCCGTGAGCCACGGCTGCTGAGCCTGTGCGTCCGGAGCCTGTGCTCCGCGGCAGGAGAGGCCACAACAGTGAGAGGCCCGCGTACCGCAAAAAAAAAAAAAAAAAGATCATGACTTATTTACTGTTTTTGGGCCAGACTAATTCTCTCAGATCTTTTTAGACAATTCTGCTCCATTGCCTTCTGGTTTTGAACATGGCTCTGGAGAATACTGAGGCCAGATTTACTCCTTCCTTCAGTTCAGGGAAATTTTTAAATTTGTATTTCTGAATATTTTCTCTGTTACACTTACTGGATTTTCTGTTTCAGGAAACTAGTTATTCCTTATTTCATTGCCTTTGCCTTCCATATCTGTCACATTTCTCCTGAGTAAGTGAGATGATATTTTTCTATTTTTTCCTGCATCCACTGAAATAATCTCAGACCTTTACTCTGTGCCTTATTCAGTTTTGAGCCCTGTTTATTCTGTTCTTTACTGCTCTAATTTATGTATTAGAGCTGTCTTGGTGTCATTTGGCTCTCAGCCTGTTTTCTCAGCTCTGCAATCTTTTCACCTTATTCTGTCGATTTGTTATCTTGTCTTTGAGCTCTTGTTTTCTTGGATTCTTATTTTTGTTGAAGCATCTGTAGCTGAGACAACCATGGAGAAGCCCTTCTTGGATTATATTTTCTCCCTTCTTTTTTTTTTTTTTTTTCGGTACGCAGGCCTCTCACTGTTGTGGCCTCTCCCGTTGCGGAGCACAGGCTCCGGACGCGCAGGCTCAGCGGCCATGGCTCACGGCCCCAGCTGCTCTGCAGCATGTGGGATCTTCCCGGACCGGGGCGCACGAACCCGTGTCCCCTGCATCGGCAGGCGGACTCTCAACCACTGTGCCACCAGGGAAGCCCATATTTTCTCCCTTCTTTCTCTCCTTCCATTTGTTGTATATGTTTGCGTAGTCTCTGTGCCATTTCTTGTTGTCACATCCACGCTTAACGTCGGAACCTGCATTGACCTTATCTTTTATTTGCTTGGGTACAGTGTAAGTGGATTCTCTTTGTCACTCTCCCTACCTTTGTGGGACCAGTCATCTTCCCCATCCCAAATGCTAGGTTGCTTTCTTTCCATTTTATTCTAGCCTGCTGAGGGTGTGGGAGAGAACACCAGCTCAGCCCACAGTGAGCCCCTGTGGGAGGGCTGACTTTTGTTCTATCTTCCCAGACTCCATGCCGGTGGTGTCCCTCTACCCCCACCCCAGGCCCTGGGTAGCCCCTGAGTACAGCTGTAGCAGAGGAAAAAGAGGCCTCATACCTTTTTTTCGTTTTCAGCTGGGTTTCTATAACAGAAGACATATTAGCGAGAGAAAAGCATACAAATTTATTTAATATAAGTTCTGCATGACATTTCCTTTATAGGGAAATGAAGACCTGAAGAAGGGGTTACCTTGAGCGTTTTTAGGCTAGGTTTGATAAAGAGTGGAAAGTTGTGGGAAAATGTGAGTGGACAAAAGGGTTATGAGTATAAGCTCAGTGTAGTAAACTAGGAGAGACTTAGCAAGGCTTGTTCATTCAGATTCCTCTTGGGTGTCCCTCTTTCATGAAAGTAGGGATGTTCCTTTCCTCCAGGTATATGGAGGGGACCTCTCATTTGAGAGTCTTATGACCCACTTCAGAGGAATGTCAGAAAGTCCTTCCTGCACCTGCTGTTTCTCACATTCCTTCAACTTGAAATACTCATTATGCCAGGGTGCCTAATTTTGGAGTAGCATGTCCTGATCC